GAGAGAGAGAGAGAGAGAGAGAGGGAGAGAGCGAGAGAGAGAGAGAGATCCCCTACAGAATGTGAGGGAAATATTCTTAAACATCCTTATCCTACTTTATATGGCTGAGTCATTTGTTCATACTTCATGTAATTCTCTTATGTATTTCTGTTTCCCCTAATTTATTGGAGTTCTTATGGAGCCTCTGCTTTGATTTGTTTCAGGAAATTGAAGAGGTTGACACAGATGAGCATTACCAGCCTAAAACCCAGATTGAGATCAACAATATCGAGCTGAAAAGGAGTATCTGAGTTTTATCTTTTCCTTCAGGCAACTATGATTATGTCATATGGTTGGTTTATGGGACCTGTCAATGCTAACACCATGTTGAGGAAGTTTCAACCTGTGCTACTCATTTTGTCTGGTTTATCCTCCTCATTTGAGAGTTTGGGTATGACTGTTTCATAGTGAGTGCTTGGGCTCGTCTTCTAGAAAGGCCTTTGTATTTTTAGTGAAGTTTTGTTTTGATTCTGCTGCTGTGAACTGCAAGGCGTGGTTGATTAGAAACTGAAGGAGTTGTATTGTGATCATTTATATTATTGTTTCCTTTTAATTATGAGTTGAAAAAGTAGTAATTTACTAGAATTCTGACCTGTCTCATGTACCTGAGTTGCTTGTGGTTCTTACAGATTCAATGAACAAATGTGAAATTGGGTATCTCCACTCGCGAGAGCCAGAGAAAATCAGTACCCTTGGTCTAGTATGTACACCTCTCCATAGCATGTAAAACGGTTGCCCTCCCTCAAGAAAAAAATGGAATTGGAACGAACTGATATAATATGAAAAGTATACAAAAGAGACCATTTACCTATATACAAGGGCCTAACAGTCATTCTTGTCTATTAGATTTCAAATCAGGTGGTTGTGGATGTCAAGCTACTCAAAGTTCAATTTTTTTTTTCTTTTTTTCAGAACGTTAACTTTCAATGACTAGATACTCAAAAGTTCAATTTTTTTTTTTAAACTGTGTGAACATCTTTGTAAATGCGCACCTAATAAAAATATATTAAAAAACAATTCGCGAAAAAATATTTGACCAAAATACCTCTAAAACATTTAAGGGGTATTTTAGTGAATCTATTTCATGTAAAATATATTTTTTATATTTTTTGTAGATTCGTCTATTTTTTATGAACAGACGTTCCAAATTTCAGATCATTTCGATTTGTAGAAAATAAATGAAAAATGAAACACTACTGAACAATAGTGACTGTACGATGAACTTTGGACAATGATTAGGTTAGGCGAAATCATTGTTTATTTTCGCCTATAGATGTTTTATAGTATCTTTCATATATATATATATATGAAGATGCTTCGGTGCGTCGATTCGTATACCGTTAAATTATACGCCCAACAGGCCAGATCGAATCTGGGTCAATCAGATGATCACAGATGTCTGGTAGTATTTGAATTTTATTTTATTTTTTATAAATCCAAATCATTTGAAATTTTAGGCGCGTGTTCTTCAAAAATAGGGGAATTTACGAAAAATATCAAAAAAATATTTTACATTAAATAAAATGACCAAAATACTACTGAAATATTTTGAGTGCATTTTGGTTAGTTTTATTTTTACGAATTATTTTTTTTATATTTTTAGTAGGTGCGCCTTGATGAGAAGAACACACCTAAAATTTCAAGTGATTTGTATTTGTAAAAAAAACATTAAAATTTAAATACTCTCAGACAACCATGACCGTCAGATAGATCTCAATTCGATTTAAGCCGTTGGGCGTTTATTGCAATTGTATGTACATGTGCATACAAAAACTTTTCCATATATATATATATAATTAAAGTAAAGCTCGATTTCAAATAGTGTCAAAAAATGTGGTTTCAATATTGGAAATCTTTGTTATAGCCTTAAAGTATATTTTTCCCTTTAATTATAAAGTTTAAGCCTAAAAAATAGTGTAGATCAAGCAGATCATGAAAACATAAAAATTTTGAAAATTGACAGTCCAAATGCATTACAAGATGCACTATTTCCAAAAGTTGAAATCTAATTTTTTTTGTTCATGTTCAAGCATCATGATATCGAGATGATCAATTTGAAGAAATTTGGGAATCAAAACAACCTTTTCGAGTGAAATTTTTGAGGTAGGCTCTAATTTGATTGTTTAGAGCCTCGGCTTTATATAAACTAT